TCGACCACTCTACATTCCTAATAGTCTACTTGTTCCTGTTAATTTCATTTCCCTGGATATTAATGTAATCTCTTTTGCTTAGTTAGCAGAAGGTATACTAAGTGGCCTCCTTATTAAGATATGGAATAATTTTTTTGCGGCGTCAAGTAACAAATCTTTAATATTTAAGCTTCAATTTTTTTTTATTACTGTTATTATAATCAAGATAAAGTGACTAGGAAGGCAAAAGTTTTACTCATCTAATCCATAACACGGTACTGGAACAGGGTCTTGCAGCTCTTAGGAGCTGCAAGACATAAAAATGCATAAAAGTACACTAAATGAACGGTTAATCAAGGAGGCCCGTTACTTCATTATTAGTCAGACTGAAGAGACGAGAGGAGTATATTAGCTGAAAAATAGACCGGGACTTAATACATAGTAGCGAGAACATGTATAGCGAACGAGCTCATGATCACTGGGAAAGTTTGATAATTATACGAATAAGGCATAGACAGATAGATGTAAAGAGGTTTTACGTATTCATTTAATTTCATAATGTTTATCTCATTTAAAATGGACTATAAATTATTCTTATGAAAATAAATATTCTGTAAGCCATTAACAACCACATTTTTCAACGCGTTAACGCGTTATTTTATTGAAACGCATACTCGTATATACTATACTAAAATGTTCAACTAACATTTTGTATGCATGATCGACATTTAAAATATGAACAGACATAGTTTTTTTATTGTAGCCTAATTTTGTTCAGTCAAACAACATCAAACTAAAAAAATACTAAATATCCCAAATTATAAGTTCTACTCACCAATGTATACAAGTAAGTACGTTCTCAGAACAAAAATACACCACACATAAACACAATCACACACTTAAACATAATGCAATATTTGACCACTTATGTTTATTTAATTGTGAGATTTTTTATTTTTACGTAAAAGTGCTAGAAAGAGTACAGTTGTGTATGTTTTAAATGCCTCTGCATGAAGCACGGTTTCTTAAAACATACACAAATTGAGCATTTTTAATCTTCATAATGCCATATTTGTATCAGGATGATTGCAGTTTTCGCACCTGTTCAACTACTATCCTATTAATTTTTATACATTACACCAGTACACTACGTTCGTTACTCGTAACTGTGTTTATGTAAACTTTACAAAATTTAATAGGTAGCGTGTATAACAACGAACATTTTCAAGTAACTGACTGATTAAGGACGTTTTGTAAGACTTTGAAATTACTCTACTTTCAAGCTGAAATGTTTCGTAACTATATACAAATAAAATTGTATTTTGCGCAAACAAACGCTTCCGGCTGAAACGTATATGATTCTAAACTTGTTTTAGGCGAAACAGATAGCATTTAATTAACACCAACTAGAATTTCGTTAATTTGTTTAGCTTAGTACCTACAGCCAGTCATGGAATGCTGTAGGTTAAATCGGTGAGAGATGTTTGACACATGTCACTTAATAAAATACTATAAAATTCTGGTGCCAAAAATCTTATTTTAAGAATGATGACTATATTGTTTTTTTTCTTTCTTTGGAATTTCTTTGTAAAAATAAATCAGTAAATATTTAAGTGCCATTCTTACAATCTTGGTAAAAAAACAGTAACATCTTGAAACATAAATATTTCTAATTATCTTTTTCCTTAAATTTTTTCTAAATGTGAAAAGGGAATGAGACAATTTGAATATTAATTTATGAGACGTGTTAGGTAAAGCTACTAAGCCAAACTATATGATGAAGAAACAGATAATCATTATCAATGTATCATGACCGATCCTCTCCTTAGGTACTTGTTTGACTATGGTAAACATTGAATGCAATATGTTCACTGCACTGTTGTAATAAGTGATAAAAAATTAACACTAAAATCAGGAACATTTGATGGCACTGAAACAAGATTATAAAACGATAAGGCTTTTGTTCTTGCTTACGTTTTAGACCAACTGTCGGAAGTGACCTCCAGTTTATCCACTGATAATTGAATACGTAATGACCACGTATCGTATTGTACCGAGTACCGAGTCGGACGCGTGCCGACCACCGAGCGAGATTCTCAACTGTTTTATTTTAAAGTTGGCTCGCATACTTTGGCCGTGAAAATTATTGCAAAGGTGTAGCTCTATTCAAAATGGATGAGCCGCAGAATTTATCGTCCATTGACTGTGAAACACGAGCGCAGTCTCTTGTGTTATTAATTGCAGATACTTTTTTAACAATTGAAGCATGACATAGAAATTACTACGTCTTTAAAGATGAATGAAAAATTACATTTGCTTTGTAAAGCATTTTCAAGAATATTCTCGACTCAAGAATTTGTACTGAAAATTAGATTTTATTTGCCTGCCTTCTCGGCGAATATATAATATATTATGCTGTAATTCGACAAAAGTACCTTAGATGGTGTTATTAAATTTTCATTGAAGAATTTTTATAGGTGTAGGGTATATTCTACATAAAAGAGATAAGACGAATATAAGGTTATACTTTTAAACCTTAAATGTTCAATTTCAACGTTTTAAAATTGACACAATAATACAAACATCATAAAGAATGTGTATGTGTATTTCTTTTATTGATTGATTTGATTGGGAATTTGAGTAATTACATAAGGAAGATCATTGTGTTATACACTAAAACTATTTTCATAAAGTCATAAAACATTTTTATTATCCCACCACTGTTGACTACCTAGTCACGAATCGATTCTGGACCCTTTAAACTCATAGTATACGTATGATATCATCATGGACGATTTGAATAGCCAACCACTTGCTTCCATCTCCCCTAGTTTCCGTACATTCGTTCAGGTCATCGATTTATCTAGTTTGTATGTTAGCTATTCATCATAACATCGATGGACCTGATTCTTAATTGTACCTGTCTTCCTCCTTTGTTCATAATCATGACCGAAACCCTACTCCAGTTGAACCCAACATGACTATGACATATGCGTTAGAACTTATAATATTAAATGTATTAAGGATAGATAAATCGAAATTTTGGAGTGATGCCTCTAAATAAGATTGGAAATCTGTTCCCTCTGCAGTCGACGATTAAGGTGACTTGTTTAATAACGTTTTAACTACGGCAATTTGGTAAACACAGTCATAATCGTCTTGAGTTCTAGTCAAGAAAGCTCAACTTTCGTAAACGTACAACGAAACTCATGGCAGAATCATCTTAGGGGTGATACATAATATAAATATTATTTATATTCACATGGGTACATAAGTATATTATATTCCCGTGTGAAGCTAAATAGTTTGTATATTTGTATGTTGGACTGATACAAAGTTCCTATATAATTTATTCCGCTATTCTATATTTTTGTGCAAAAAGTGTGAGATATAAATAATCATGGGAGTGACAGATTCAGAATACGGAGTGTCACCACTGCTATTCAACCAATGGGTGTCGTAAGAGTTGTCTAAGGGAGCAAACTGCGCAGGACAACTGCACTGCAAAGAGAAGGAAAACTTGAACCAAACCCTATACCAACCATGGCCAGCGTGGTATAGTATGCACAAACCTTTCTAAGGAGAGGCCTATGTCAAGCAGTGGACTGTTATATGGCTGTTGATGATGACGATGATGATGAAAGAGCTAATCAATGGAGTATGTATCCAATATTAGTGTGCCCGGAATTAAAGACGGCCTACGACGCTGGCACGCACCAAAGTTGTGGTTATTTCTATGACATTAACGGAGGCACTGAGTGATGAGATATCAACAAGATGTAGGAAGAAAGAAAAGACAAGTAACTGAAAATAGACATATAAAATTAAAACAAATCTAGTTAATCGTTTTTAAGAATTGCTTCCTAAATATAAATAATATTAATGTGTATGATTATGTTATTTAAATAAGCTAATGTTGTCAAACAAGGACATTTATGCTACTTAATGTTGTGTATGTGATCTCTATCACGTTCACTAATTTCATGAGTCGGCGAAATGATACGATAGATTATATTGTACTCATAAAATTAGCGCAAGACTAAAAAGAGGTGGCGTAGTTATAATGACAGCTCGTGGCAGCATTTCTATTTTCTTGTATCGTATTGTATTTATAACAAGCTGCAATAATTTATCCTTAATAAAGAAGGACTAAACAGACGAGAATGCAATAATGATAGGTAAACGGTGGCTTTGAACAAAGAGTGTAAGAAGGCTGACGGATTACAAATCATATCTGAATTAGATAAAATGTATTATTTAAAATTCTTAATTAAACGTCAATTGAAACATCTTTTATACGCATTTAACTTATATTTTGATTGTAATGTCAAATATTATGCCTCTTACCTATTGGTACTTTACTTGGATTCCCATACATAGTAACATTAAATAAAATGTTTGCTAATGTATTAATTACGGTTTGATCTATACCTTTATATTATAAAAAGGACCTATTAGGTTCAATTAATTCTACCTATTCTATCAATTTACTAATATTTATTTATTAATCTAATTATTTATTAATATATAAAATAGAAATATTAAAGGCTGTTGATGATGATGATGATATTTAATATTAAAATAAGTGTATAGACGTGATATGACTGCCTATCAGATTCAAGCATAATTTTAACGATATCGTAACCCTATTGCTATCAGTGAGTGTGGCGGAGCCAATTGCTGTAAGTAATCGAACCAATTTACTCTGAAACGAACCACGCGGGTTACTCGCGCAGGTCGCTAGCCTCGTCCGTTGAAGCATGCATTGTATTATAACAATGATGCACCGTATTCAGTTCAAAAGTTATCTCTTTAATTAACCAAACAGTTTGTTTCGAATTTGCAAACAGTGTGATATCTTATCAGGCTCTATTAGTGCGAGTTGAACATTGCTGGTTACACGTATCGACAGTTGTCTACAAACTAATGTGAGCTCTCATCTGTGTTGTGATATTGTATTCTGTGATTCGCCTTTATTATTATATTGAACATCTACATTTATTAGTTAAAATTTAACTAAAATGAGTGAAGGTAGCGTCGATGTACATGAGTTGGAAAAATTGAGGTTTGTTTTTTTAATATGTATTTTTTATAACCTTCATATTTTGTTCTTCTTCGTACATTGCCAGAAATATTTGAGAGGTGACTGTAAGAAATATTTTAACATATTTAATAATACTTGTTTGCCATGTATATTTAGTGTTGAAAATGTGGCCCTTAAACTAATATCAATCCAAAACATTTTTTTTTATTTTAATCTCAAATAGTCTATTGTATGTTACCTTCGGCATCCAGGCGACATTGACGCCAATATCAAGATAACTTATCATAGTGAAGTAACTTTATGCAATTTTAAAACAAACTAGGCTACACTTTACTAACAACAACTTAATGAAGTGGCCGCAACTTAATCTAGAATAGTTAAATTAGGCAACAAGTTAGATCTCACGGCAAGTTATAGGTATACTAGTACATAATATGTCAAAAAAAAACATAAAAGTTACAGATTTACATTGAGCAGCGTAAAGTTTATTGGATTTTCCAAGTGTAACTGTGGGAGAGCCATGCTTAGTACCAGCCGGTATAATATGGGCCGGCTGGTCCGGAGTAATAACCACGGCCTTAGAGAAAACCGGTGTTAAGCATTTCTTTCGTTGATTTTGTTGATAGTGAAAAAAAATGCGCGTTGGCAGAATATTAGAAAGCATATAGATTTGAAAAAGGCTTTATTTTGTAACTTGTGTGGTTTAATTTCTTACCAACGTAATTTCTTCGACTTTTTGCTTTACTGAAGGCCCTGGTAAAGACTTGTAATTAGTTTTTGCAGCTAAATCTGCTTCAATCTAAAGTATTGTTAAAGCTGGCAGTCGGATCTGCTTGAAACTTGTTCTTAAGTAATTTGAAATAATTTTTAACCTATTATTTATATTTTACAAGAATCCAAAATTGTTGTAATATTCAGTTAATGCAGTAAATCTTGTATTAATGTCTTGTATTACGATTGAAGAAATTAGGAGGTTGTCCGTCTGTCCGTCTGTCTTGACATAGTCAACGCTTCGAACCTCCTCCCGTGGTGGATACTAATGCCTCCCTGATCACAAATCAGGGAGGCATTGGTATCAATGGTTGCACCACCTAGGACATTGTAAAATGAAATTGTTGAATCGTAAATTGATCAAGAGAGCGAAGAATGTTGAAAGGTACAAATAGGGTTCCCTCGGCGTCGGTCCTAGGACCTAAGCTGTGGAACCTCACGCATAATGCAGTCCCGAGAAATAGTCTTGCCCTAACAGTGACTATCGTCTGTTACGCGAAGGAGAACTCGAAGCTGGCCGAGTTAGGGGTAGCTTGTGTCGTCCAAATCATCAAGCGCGCAGCTGGATCAGACGCAAAAGGTGCACCAACGCGCTGTTCTGTCTAACCTCAAAGAGTGGTTATGTAGGGAGGGACCTACCACTTGATGCAGGTAGTCCTCGGGCATGGTTGCTTCGGTGAGTACCTGAATTCGATCGGACGTAACTAGACGGCACAATACCAGCACTGCGCAGCCGATTGTGACTTCGACTAGCATGCGCAAGAAAAATGCCCCGGATATGTCCTGGTGGATCGAACCAGACGAGATTTGTTCCGGCCAGAAATCGTATCAAAACACTGTAGGGCTACAATACATTGATAGTGATTGGACCAAAAGGCGGGGGAGCCTGCGGCTTCTACTGGGATATGGCCTAGCTAGGTGCGGCGTTGATCCGGTAGAGATCTGAAGTCACATGGTTCAATTTAACGGTCACGGTCTTTAAAGGTAGTTACAATGGCCTCGTAGTCGCACTACAGATGGGGCATCTTGAGAGGCCCGAAACAAACACACTTCGAGCGGTAAATATGATCAAATTATTTAGCAATCTGTGGTAAAGTCTGGGGGCATCGGATTTAAAGGAGCCTCGCAAGGCCCCCCTAAGTGCACGGCACTGTGAGTGAGGTTAACTTTGCTCAAACAAAAGGAATTAAGATTGTAATAATGGATATGTTTAGAATTGTGCAACTCTACTAGGAAAAACATCATAAGCAGTTCCCTGCTGGACATTGGTCTCTTCCATTGCACGCTACTTCACTTTGTGTCATACTCATAGCAAAATAATTATTTTAGCCCCTTTTAAGTAAATTTTAGGAATATTTAAAATACTTAGTTTTTGTTACGAGTATGAAGGAGAAGCGTTGATTGCTAAAGTATTTAGACAATGTGTGTCAGATACTTAAAAATTGTGTGAAAATTACTACATCAAGCTTCAAGCATTCATTGTATGTTGATCTGCCAAGATACACATGTCATAGTCAATGACAGTATAACGTAATCCGAAGGATGGAGTGCAGTTTCGCGGTCATTTAGAAGGTAAGGTCAAATTGGCCTCGAAGAGGCTCGGTGTACTGAACAGATCGAGGCAGTATTTCACTCCAGTCCATCGCCTCCAACTCTATAAGGCGCAAGTCCGACCGCATATGGAATACTGTTCTCATATCTGTGCCCCCTGCACCACAGTACCAACTTCTCCCTCTGGACCGTATCCAAAGAGGAGCGACTCGAATAGTCGTTAGCCAAAAGATTTGCGACCGGCTCGATCCCTTGGCGTTGCGGTGATGTAGCTTCGCTCTGCATACTTTGCTCTATCGTATATATCATGGAGAGTGCTCCGAGGAATCGTTCGGACTAATACCTGCCGCAGCCTTCCGCCATCGTTTCACACGACAAAATTATTATCCCTCATGAGCTTTTTAAAACACTTTTTGCCTCGCACTACCAATCTGTGGAACAAGTTACCGGTTACCGGCTGCGGTATTTCCGGGCCGATACGACCTTCAAAACTTCAAGAAAAGAGCGTACTCCTTCCTCAAAGGCTGGTAACGCGCTTGTGACTTCTGAGTTTTCGCCGCCGAGCATTAGATTTAACAATGTTACTGTAAAAAATAAAACCACAGTGTGTTATCTAGGATTAGTTTTAGAAAGAAACTTTTCATTTATCGAACATATTAAAATAGTTAATGAAAAGTCTAAAAAGAGTTTCTGTGCATTGACAAGGATATCAACTGCGACATGGGGTCTATCATTTAATACATTAAAGATCATATACGGAGCTACTTATTTAGGTTCTATGTGCTATGGTGCACCTGTATGGGCCGATAGGGCGACCGTAGGCGCTGTCCGTCGCAAACTGTTACAAGGCCAACGACTTGCACTGATATTCTTGTGTAAGGCATATAGGACGGTTAGCACTGAGGCTTTGCCGGTGTTGGCGGGTGTGCTTCCGGTCGATCTCGAGGTGCAGAGACGTGCAGCCATGTACTATTCAAGACAACAAAACATGGAATGCGATTTTTTGGGCTCGCGGGATCGCGGTAAAATTACAAGATTGCTTCAACAGCAGCCCGATGTCTATAACGACCTCATAGACGAATGGCAACAACGCTGGGATGAATCATCCAAGGGGCGCCATCTTTACCAATTCTTTCCATCTGTTCGCGAACGGTTGTCGAGGATATGGCTTGAGGTGGATCACTGTGTCGCTCAATTTCTTACGGGTCATGGTAACTTTAAGAGCAAGCTTTATTCATTTAAATTAGTCGAGTCACCATTGTGTCAATGCTCAACACCTAACTCTCACTATGAACAGTCTGCTCATCATATCCTCTGGGAATGTAGTCTTTGGTATAATGAACGTAATATAATGCTGAATAGCTTGCAGGTGACATCTGGGGCGGTATACTATGGGGATCTTGTGTCAACTAGGGTGAATTTCCGTGCGTTTAGGCGATTCTGCCATACATATTATAGAAACCAAACATAGCTTACGTAGGACCCGTAATATTTGTGGCCGTGGTGCTTCCCTGTTTAAAAGGGTGTATGCCCATTTTTACTTCATTTTGTCTCCCGCTTTGCTAAGGAGGGAAGTGGATTTACTGTATTTCCAACTCCTCCAATTTTCTTCTGATTAATTTCGTTGCGGGTTCCAAGACAGTTTAATTTCTTCCTGGGACTTCCCGAGTGTCATAACTCGGTGTGTTCGTGGGTCACTGCTGTGGATCCTGGTGTACAGGAGTTACAGTGGTGGGCGTGTGGGTGGGATTAGTCCCATTCTGAGTTTTCGAACAAACATTCGAAATTTAATTGATTAGTGATCGAATTTCGACCACTAAGAGTTCTGTAGTCATGTACGTTAAACACCGCAGAACAATATTATGCCTGTTTTGTGTTATAAACGGTACCTATTACTTGTTTTATTTTAATGATGATTTTCGTAAATATGGACTACATCAATATTTAAAATGAGATCGCTTGTAATCACACATCAGTTCGTCTCTTTTCTCTATGAAATGAATTAGAAATCGATTGGTCTAAGTATTTTGATAATGCCTTATTTTTAGTGCAGCTACATATTTTTTCTCTTTTTTCACGATATTGCGAGGTCATATCTTTTCCTAAAATGAATAACGTCTAGACTAATATAATTACAATTTCATTTAGGTTTTCCACATATTGAAAATACTCAGTTTTAGAGTTTTTAAATGATATCAGTAAGTCTGATGAATTTTTTTACAAAAATATGACTTCAGAGGATTCAGTCTTGTCAACAAATAAATAAACACTTGTTTGGAGCTTATTCTAAACAAATAACTTCAGTGGGTGATAAAAGGTTAATAGTCAATAATCATCATAGATGTAATATTAAAGCTTGCTTGGAAGCCAATTTATTAATAACTAAAAGGTTATATCTAAAACCTATTTATCAAATTCTAATTTAAAGCGAACGAACCCGCTGGTAAAAGCTATTAAGGCTGGAAATTTAAAACAATACGTGGAAGTTGTGTTATTATTTTTAAATCTTTTAAGTGGTTTCAGTGCACTCTTTTTTTAATGGAAAAGGGGGTAGACGAGCAGATGGGACACCTGATGGAAAGTGACTAAAGTCTCTGTTTAGTTGTCAACATGCTATAAACACAGGCTATGTAAAGCTTATGAAATGTATTTTATGATTTAAATAACAGATTTGAAAGGTTAAATATTAGGAAATAATATTTTTCAATAATACTAGTAGTAAAACTCATTAGTTTCAGAACGTGCTGTTCTTCAAAACAAAAGGAGTTACAACAAACATTTGGAGTGCATTGTTCTGATAACATTATTTTTAAATAACTCATTTTAATAAATTTGCACTTTTTATTTAAAGAAATGAAGAAACTGAACAAAATAAATCGATAAAAGAAGAGGTTCAGGCGGCTAAGTATCGGTTCCTGCTCGAGCCGGCCTTGGCGGGTGCCATGATAGCAATTAATTTGGGTCAGACTTCAATACAAAATTTCTACCTTCGTACTGCTTGCACAGTTGATTTAGGACGACCCTTGGAAATTTGTTATAAGGGAGTTGGCGCACAGTTTCGGGAAGCAGAGGTAAACCTTCTTAATACTTGTTTATTTTTTTAATCAGTCAGTCGGTTTTGATTTTTAGGTGGATTTATTACAAATTTCTAATCAGTTTTTAAATCACTAAGATGTTTTCCTATTATTCTAGCATTATTATTTTTATCTTAAAATTGTTATCACGTTGGTTTGTCACCCGCGGAGAATAAACAAATAATTAAGACGTAGCATAATTAATGTGATCATATTTACAAAGGTTTGTAACAATTTCACTGTAGACAGTGTTTACTAGACCAGATTTCTGCGATTGTACTCGCCAGACTGAGGATTAGTCTATCGACTCCGCTGTACTAGTGTACTATAATTTATTTATTATTACTTATCACACTTTAATTTGACGATTGGCTTCCGATTGAATATTTTATTCATCTATTATTTTTAGCCATGGATTTTCGCTTACACTTTGTGCAATTAAGTGCTTATCAATTTCGAAGAGTGTTTAATTTTATCTCTGATATTTTTATAGGTTTAATGGTTGGATTACTACACCGTATTGCTATGTACTTTGCTATTTTATGTGCCACTTTCCTAATCAATAATACTTCTACGTGCATTTAGTTATCATGAGCAAGGTTATTGAAAGAAATTGATCTTGAGTTGCTATGGATTTAATCCTCTCTTTGTGGCTAAACACATTAGGTTGTGAATTTATTGCGTGTAGTGTTAGCTGAAAATAAAAAAAAGGTTATTGTTCATTTTCATTTAACTACCGTACTGTAAATTTTATTTTTATTTAACACATTCAGCTACATCCAATACATAAGTACATATAATAAACTGATAACCTAGTCTAAAAACAGGAAAGGGACATACCATTACTAAAAAGAATAAATCAAACATTTGTGAGTACTATACTCAGAGTGGGGTTAAACTCTAAGTTGCTTTTACAAGTTTTTATTGATTAATACTTTGGACTTACTACGTGAGTCAAAGTGCACATCACGAGATCACTGTAGCTATTTAACCATTTAAAGAGTCGGTGGGTAGAAGAATTAGCACTAAGTGCGAAGTGCAGGATGTATTATGTAAAAGGACCTTTTGATATTTTGCTGGCACACGGATTTATGCCCTGCCCATTACATAATAAAAGAAAACTTACTTTAACGGAAATAGGATGTCTTACTGATAACAAACCCAAGCATTGTTAAGCCCTTTTTGAATTAATTTTTAAATTTTAAGCAAATTCCGACTAAACAGTTGGTTTAAATTTTGTTTTACGAGTAATAACATATAATCCATAAAATAAATACTCATGGATAAAGTGATAAGTTATCAGGGGAACTCTTACATGTAGATTTTTTGTATTATTTATTTTGATAGCGTAAATGTAATTAACAGTACATGTTTTATGTTTTCAAATAATGTGATATTTGTCTTAACCATTTTATTTTGACATCTAACTTGCTTCGTTCTTTAATCGGTAATTGAAGTAGCATTTAGATAGTTTGCTTAGATAGCTTGTACATTGACATTGGTATTGTATTGGTACAAAATGTACAAAACACAATAGTTTCTTACTGCGTGTTTCCATAACTGTATACGGTAAATGGTACGGGAGTAGTACAATTTTACGGCTTTAGTACCGCACTCTATATATTTCTCCTGATTTCTTCTCTCTAAATCTTAATTCTTGCTATTTTCTAAAGGTGATTTCTTTAAAGAAACTTGGCCTTATGATTTATTTATTTATTTAATGGAAAACCGACAGCTATAATAGTGGTGTATGACATAAAAATACGCTACATTAAGCCAATTACAGATCCTCACTCTTAACATCAAATTGAACAATAAGAACAGCAGTGTTAAAATATTTTAATAATAAATAATTGAAATCAAAATCATGGTTAAAATTAAAAGAAAATTAAAATTAAATTCATAACCAAAATAAAATTAAAATTAAAATCAAAGTCAAAATCCAAATTCATAATTAAAACTAAAGTCAAAATTAAAATTAAAGTAAAAATTATAAATATGCTTGTCGTGTAGTTCATTAGTCTTACTTTTGCTGTGTTTTAATTAGTTTTTCTGTAATGTGTTAATCAAACAAGGCAGTAATTTTATGACTGTATTATTAGGTATTACCAACAGTTAGTAAATCGATCGACAAGAAACGTCTTATCTATATACTTCTACAATCATAGTCATTAAGGTTTGCATTAGCACCTGTCATGTACCAAACCAATATTTTAATACATAAATCCTCTTACACTTGGGTACTCGAATGACTTGAGTCGTGAGCACAGAGTACAGTAATACTACGAGTATTAGAGATTCGTGAGTCTCTTGAATAATTAGATTCCTTGGTCTTTTTGAGCACTAAAAAGTAACCACAAAATAATAATTTTCAACGATTGAAGTGTTGAATTTTAATTGTGAAAAAACGAGATCGTTGACAGTTGTTGTTGTCAGAATTGTACAAAAGATAAAAGGATGTCCCGTTAAGTTGGTAGCAGGCAAAAATCGAGGTGATGATACCCATTCCTTGTCCGTAAGATTTATGTATAGGTAAATTTGCTATCTGGCCCTATCCGAGGGGTATGCCGAAAACCACCCTTAACTACCTCGGATCTGTTTTTTTGGCAAGTGATACTTACGGGAATTCTCCAGCTTAAGTCAAATTGTGAAAGCTTGTCCTCACATTTCGGAAACATTGGTGCTAATTCTGTTGCTCGAAAACTCTCTAAACTAAACTAAAAATCACAAAAAAATTGTTTAATCCTGTAAAAACAACGTTCCGTACACCGTTCCGAAAATGTAGTACCTGATAGGAAAAAACTAATTTTTAGTGATTTTTAGTTTAAGTTTAGATAGTTTTGGAACAACCGAATTAGCACCATTGTTACGCATTACAATTCTTTATGCCTCACTAACTTATAAAAGACTAAATGTTGGTTAAATGTATCTTAGGTGCATTCATACAGATGTAGGTACAAACAATATTTTTTCTTTAAACAAATACTTGTGGTAAAGAGCGTCTAATTTAGCATTGTTTTAGCTTGTGTTGACCATTTAATAATTATAAATATATTTATATATATAATTATATAATCATATTAATAAACATTAAATAATTTCTATTGTTTTCAGGAAGCTAGTCAAAAAGTTGTATCAGGAGTGAATGTTAGTAGAACTTTCATTGGATCTCTTATTGCCACCATAGTCCTACTCTTCATAGGGCCATGGAGCGACTGCAGTGGTCGTCGGAAACCACTGCTCATATTACCTCTAATTGGTATGAGCGTGATGACGACAGGAATTTTATTAATGCTCATATTCCCAGGAGCATCTACTGTTCAAGTATTATATGTTGTTCAACTGCCTATGTCATTAGGAGGTAATTTTGGATTGCTATTAGCAGCAGCTTTTAGTCATATAGGTGATGTAAGTATTGTATTTTTAATTAATTACTTTTAAATTTTGTTATTTTATTTATGAAATAATTCAAATCTCAGATTGTAAGCACGCATAACAAATGATATGATCGAGATTATCATTACGAATTTGATAACTCAAATTTCCTTTGAATAGGAATATTGCCTATCGAAGACAATATAAGTAGGAGTATATTTCTTAAACGCCCGACTGTAAGACGCTTGACTCGGTTAGGTAGGACGCTTAACACCTTAAAGGGTTGTTGGTCGATCCCCACACATTTGTTCGCTCAATGTGCAAAACGACCCTTTTTAAAATTAATATCTTTTAGTGGTCGATTCACACAAACTGAATTTATTAGTATATCGACAACTCTAGGAAAATGAAGTGAAATTATGAAAAAGAAAATTAAGAAATAATTAGATTCTATTTAACATGTAATAATTCAGACTGAAAATGTGTATTTATAACTGCCAATTTTTTTTTCAGGTGTGCCACGCTACGGGTCGTGACGTCACTCGCACCATGGGCACCCACCGCGCCGCCATTCAGATTTCCCATGTAGTTGGGGCCCTATCTGGTCCTCTTCTTTATCGATACCTTGGATTCTTCGGTGTGTTTCCACTTGTTTTATTTCTACAGGTATTTTACTCCATTTACTCAATAAACTCTGACAGTGATTCGTAATATAGGTAATACACAACTCGTAAAGGCGTGTGTGTGTGTCTTGCCACTGCCGATGATATCAAAGAACTTGTGGTTACTTTGTTCAAAAATTTACAAACTGTCCCTGCAACAAAAGCCAACAATGCTCATTGGTTTAAGAGTTGCTTTTCTACCATAACAAAGCAAAACCATTCGATAAAGAAGGTTTTTTACACAATAGAAAATAACTGAGAGATATATGTTTTTTTTAAATACTGGTAGATATCTCTCTCTTAAAGGAATTATACGTTAATCAGCAGCATTCATTTATTTATGTAACATGTTTTTCAAATATTTATATAACACAGTGTTATATAAATAATTGAAATAAAGTCGTATAGATAAAAAATATCTTCAAATGCCATGATCATAATTTTATTTGTCTCGCAAAGGAAGTGAATGCTATCATTGTCAATTCGTTCCTTTCTTATTTATATTTTACCGAGCGGTGTAAAGGTAGGGATCGGCCCTTTATCTAGACAAATAGTAAAGTTTAGGTGTCTGTTTGTGATGTCAAAATAATAGTTTTGGAGGCGGAGTTGACTAAACTCAGATTTAGCACAAATCTCCTGATAGCAATGACTTATTTAGCCTTGGGTGAAAGTTTTATGTGCTAAGGGGTAGTCTAGGCGGCAAATTAGTCCCGTTTAATAATCAAAAGGATTAAGTGTATGATAAAGTGGCAGATCCATGCAGTGGTTGCACCTTTAATACACTTCTAACGTTAGCTTAACTGAAGACGCTAAAAAGAAAAGGTGACAAAAAAAATCTTGTGCCTGGAGCGTTACACTTTAAAATCACGAATCACAACTGTTTGATAATTATACGTTTGACATTTTTGATGTTTATTGGAGAGCTGTTTGCCAAAATACGTTTTCAAATTTAGGGAGGATGATGTGTCTAAAGTGTATTCCTCGAAAGTTTCATACCAGTTTCCGGTTTCTCAGTGTGCAGACTACATTAATTTATATCGTTTCTAAAACTGTACTAAAGGACGGGTTATCTTTGTTCCGGGATTAAATTTAAAAATGATTTTGTTTTAGAAAATGCTATTAAGTTCGTTATTTTTGCCTCTACACCAATTTGGTCTATCTGGATAGGTACTCTACGGTACTTTCGGTAACTAAACCAAATAGTGAAAGCAATCTAAATATAAGAGTTAGTTAAGTTTTGAATATTATTGTTATTAGTTGTCTTACAAAAGGGGAAGTTTTATCAGAAGTTTTACATTGCACATCTTTTGTTAGAGTACGGTACCTCAAAAGGAAATAAGAAACCCTTGTATAATCGCTTCATTGTTCATCCGTCTGCCTCTCTGTCTGTTAAGGCCTTTTTTCTTGGAAAAGCGTAGATCAAGTTAAAAATCAATTTACTTTGAATTAATATTTAAAACTTAAAAACGCAAGGTCTTACAACATAATCAATCGAAAAATAAGTCGTTTATATCTTATACAAATAAATGTTTTGTGATTTTAATCTTGTGTACTCATACACAAATTGAAAGATTGCCTGCAATGTATGGCGCAGTATTTTGGAATAATAAAGTTAAGTTTGTGCTGTGAAAACACAAACAGTCAATAATCTACTAGAATTAATTCTTGAGCCATATATGTATAATAATATACCATATATGTAAGTTTCTACGCAACCCTCGGTGCACGAGTCCAACTCTCGTTTCTCCCGTTTCTTATAAATTTATTAATCAAGAGCAGCAAGTTACTAGAGAAACTCAAATACACAAAAAATCAATGCACAAAAAGTAAAAATGAAGTTAATAAAAAAGCTGATGCACCCAAAAAAATATAAATATGCATTTAGTCTTTGTAAATTATTATATTTTTTTAAATTATAATACGCGCGGTAGTAGAATAATGCCTAAGATGTTGGACTTGTGATTAAGTGGCTGTTTTGAGACACCTACACATCCACCTATCTGGATTTGACTTAACTTGACATGATAGATGATTACTGAATATACTACCGACGACGTGTACCCACTCTTAACACTATGGCAGGAGCGGCCTTTGGGTGTGGTGAGCAGGGTAACCAACCAAGGCCAATCTCATGCAGAGGCCTCGCACACTCACGCGATACCCCAAGTAGAAAAATGATTTTTAGAATTTCGCGCCTTACGACTCGCATTATAAAACTAATGTATCTCTACTCGCGCTCGGGGATTCGGGGATTCGCCGTGTTTGATTCCGCCTGTCCTTTCGACAGGCTTCCAGTTTCAACATTTTTAATTCCAAATCTCATAACTAAAACTAATTCCACAAAGGCAAGTGCCTCTCAATGGCTATGGTCACCACTGTTGAAGGGTTTAAGAAGAGTGCTAGTAGGGTGCTTAGTATTACTTGTAACAGTAGTTACATGCAGGTAGTGTTTGCACAGATCATGAATCAAAACAATGATAAATATTATATATTTTTTTATTTTTCAGCTGTCGTCGCTTGTCTATGTTATATTAGTTGTGAAAGACGTCAATGTAAATACAGATAACAAAGTGTCTGTGTTCAACTGGAGGCTGCCACTGAATGCTGTTCAATGCTTGATAAGGGCCAGGGACGATAACAAACGGGTTATCATACTTCTTATGCTTGTAGTTGCTTTAGGAGACAGGATGTTACTCTCTGGTAAGCTGTAAACATAATAATAAAAATGATTTTTCATTGATTTCATATATTATTACTGATAAACTTAATAAAACGCATACATTTACATGCCTATGCTTTGAATATTCTGTCAGACTTGCAACCTTGAGTCCAAAACGCGTGTGGACTTTTTTTAATTAATTGTCATAGTAACATGTTATATCGTAACAAAATTACAGAAAGTCACTGACTGACCATTACACAATATTTTTTTTTTAATCCAATTAACACTAGGTATTCTTTAATTATATTGATTGTTGGAATAGTCAAGTCTGGACTGCTAATGTATAATAAACAAGCCTAAAAAAGTAGAAGACCAAACGTGACCGATTATGTCTTTTATAAAAACTATTGTCCTAGAGAGTAGGTAGGTAGTCATCCAATAGGTAAGGCCAATTACATTAAGGATGACTAAATACCGTTTTTTACTTTCATAAATGCGATAAGAAGACTATAAAAGCATAATGTACGTCAGTGACAAGCTATAAGGTCTAGTGGTTAATGACTCTGACTTCTAAGCCGGAGGTCGTGGGTTTGATTCCCACCTAGGACAAACATTTGTCTGATGAGCACGATGATTTGTTCTGCGTGTGGGTGTAATTTTACTAAAATATGTATGTATTTAGAAATATAGTAAAATAAGTATGATTATTATCAGTGGTTACCATAGCACAAACTCTGCCTAGTTTGGAATCAGACGGCCGTGTGTGAGGTGTGTGAATTTATAAGTAACAACTTAAAAAGCAAGAAAATAAATACCGCTACAATTAAAAAAAAACCAGTTTAACAGACAATACAGACGTAAATTACATAATATAATTATTTGACTTTCCATTTCATTATTTTTATAATATTTAACAATAAAGAAATAATAGAAATGGAATAATCACGTTAAATATAAAAAAATATATAAATATAGGTACCTACTGAAGTGTTTTCCTTCTTATTTTTTGACACAAAGGTGTAAATAACCCAACTCACAATAGCCTAATGTCATCTGGTTATCACTTTTTTTTCCCGATGCAGCAATGCTTCTTGGTGGTGATAGTTTTTTTTTTTGGTGACTTGGTCTAAACTTCTTTCGGATCTCCGGCTCCTTGGGGACACAGGAGCCAGGACTATGTGATGTTTCCACTAACAATCACTCTAATATTCTTGGGAGAACCCGGAACATGTGATTTCACGACGCCGCACCTAACTAGGTACCTGTTGTATGTTTACGGGAATTTACGCGCTCAAGGAATTAAGTTCATTCCTGACGTTTCGATCAGGTTGCACAGACCGTGGTCACAAGCTTGAACAAAACTTATTGGGGTATTTACTTTCTTTGAGCATAGTAACGAGCATAAATTGTTTGGAAATCATATTGAAATAATTCAAAACCTGTGAAGGCCATTTGTGTTCTTCATCATCCGTTTCACTTCACCACTTGGTGCTGTCCATAGCTATAAGTTTGAATAAAATATTTGAAGGCCCTAAAGTTCTCTAGAACTACATCATCTGATGCTGACCTGATTACAATAAAAAAGAACGACTTAATTAGTTACAACCATCTTTGAGTAATCATGTAACGTAAATATGGATTTCCATCGATTTGAGTACCTCCTTATTTGAAGTCGATTAAGAACCTTAAAATAAAACAACATTTTGTAAATTCCTCATCTATTTTAACACGCGTCTGAAGGCCTTCTAGGTAATGTTACGTAAGATAAATAGGAACAATTTTAATCAATTTTGACTGTCAGGTGATGCTATACCTTTTTCATTTAACGTGCATGATGCAAAAAATTCATTAGCAGTGTAAACTGATTCCTATAGATGGCGCTTTACACTCCCTGCGATGTTCTTTCTTGAATATATAAAATGTAGTGTTACGATTCTAGATTCTTGTCTGTCTTGCTCGTTTTTAACGTTGCCACTAGGTGGCGATCACTGTTTTACAAAACTTATCTATACCTTTATCTTATCTATGAGCGTTAACAGTTCAAGTTAGGATAATATAATCATTGTTAGCTCTACATATTTTAATAGTCCTACACTCAATTGAGTTCTTGGTTATATTTCAGTTAACTATTGGTTCTATAGGTATTAAATAAACTTCGGTTTAAAGTCATTACGTTTCTGAAAAAGCCACGTCCTGCAACGGACCATTCAAAACAGTTGCAAAGCTTCCACTAGATGGATCTGTTTCAGTTTGAGAGTTATGAAACCAGCAGTAAATGTTTGTTAATTATATATCTATCTAATAATAAGAATACTTAATATTAATGTGTAGAAGAAAAATACAAAGTTATAAATAAAAACAATACTGGAAAGTTGAAAATTATATAAAAACCGATCAATAAAATTATACATACGAGTCGGCCTCTCCGTAGGAAGGAGGTTTTGGCGAAATTATAATGATAATATAAAATTAAAACAAGTTTTTTTTACTAAATTGCAAAACGGACACCTGTGACGATCTTTCAGGTCCTGTTACTTGCTAAAATATAAAAATAACTACCATGACTTTGCCTATCACCCGTAACCAGGTGGCGTTGTTTTTTGGGACTATAGACGGAGTTTAGCTTTGGCTGATGCCGACCTATGTATGCACGACGCAAAGAGGATGAGACGTCCGCGTGTGCCTGGCCGACGCTACGTCGCCTAAATGAGAATTTTAACCCGAAGGGCCCTGAAGCGCTTTAAAGGAAAAGCTTTAGGAGGCGTCCAGTGTCTTAATAAAAGCTGCTCTCGGATCCTCTGCACTTTTAATAGGAGGGCCTATTGAAAGTGCAGTATAGCCCATCATGTTGTTTTAGTCGGGTCGGTTTGAACACATTGCAATCTTGTTATAAAATGGCAGATAAATAAATAATTATAAAGATAAATAAACATAAATAAAATTATCCTAATAAAGGCCATGGTTTTTGAGAACTGAACTTATTTAAAATGTATTTCAGTAAACTATAGCTGTTTAATATTTTGCTGGATACCTGCTCATACAATTATATATGTATATATTTTATGGAAGATAGGGTAAGCGAGCAGACGGGTCACCTGATGCAAAGCGACTAGCGCCGCCCATGAACTTCTGCACCTCAGGAGTACAAGCGCTTTGCCGGCCTTTGAGGAAGGAGTATGCTCTTTTCTTGAAGGTTTGGAGGTGGTATCGGTTCGGAAATACCGCAGACGATAACTTTGAACTGAATGTGCTAATTTCGTATGAGATCAATTCCGCGATACTCTCTGTGTGATATGACATCCCTATGTCTATATATCAATAAATTAAGATGTAATAACATACCTAACTACTTTAAGAGTATGTCTGAGAATGTGAGTTAATATAAAAAAATATCAGTCTAGACGATTTTAATCTGAAACTAACAACAGTTTATTTTTTTGTCAACAGCTGAAGTCCTGATAGCGTACATGTACTATAGGTATAAGTTTCATTGGGATGACGTCATGTTCGGGTCGTTCCTAGCCTATAGGAATATTATTAGTTTTATCGGTAAGTATTTTGTATTCAGATTATTTTCTTATTATTTTGATTAGACAGGAGTGGAGAATATTTCCTTGAATATCACGGGGTGCCGATCTGCGCAACCGGACGGTAAAGTTTTTCATGGACGCGATGGTCTATGACCCAATTCGCTCTATTGGTCGGAATGGCGAGGAGGCCGCGCCGGGTTATGAGCCCGGAATGCTACGGTGGAACGCGCATACGCAAGCGCTACGGGCGTGGTGGTGGAAATCCTGCCTGTCTTCGTAGCGTGGGTAGGGAGGAACGACTTTGTCACCTACCAATTGACTCAGGTGCTCACCGGGCACGGTAAGTCCGGTGAGTAAATGAATCGAATCGGACGGGAGCTCACGGCACAATGCCACCACTGTGGGTCCGACAGGGACTCCGCCCAGCCCACGCTGGAAGACTGTTGATGTTGTTGTTGACCCACTAAGAAAGCATTTTTGGAAGTTTCACCCCTAAGGGGGTAAGGGGGTAAGGGGGAATGGCTGTATGGAAGTACGTAATTTTCAAAGTAAGAAACACGAAACAAGAAATAATCAAAAGAGTGAAGCTGCTGATAGTAGCTAGTAAGGACTAAAAATATACAATTTTTCCAACGATATTTCATTATCTATGTCCAGCGATAATTGTTTACTGTTTGTTTCATTTGATTGATTCTGCAAATGTGATACCTAACTATTTTAATCGGATTAATGAGATAACCATTTAAATTTGTGACTGAATTAGACCGCACTTTTCATAATAATATCCAAAAAATGGGTTATATTTATATATATTCGAATGCATCCTCCTCATTCATAAGACTAAGAATTCTCCACGCGAGTCCCACAAACTAGCGGTGGCCTTACGCATGACGCATGATGAAATATATAGAGTAACCTGATTTTAACTTTAGTAATATATATCGAAAATATAAACGCTGAATTTCACAGGAACGCTGTTAATATTATCTGTACTAAAGCGGCGACTTCGCCTAAGTGATGAAACAGTGGGTATGATGAGCTGCGTGTCATATATGATCGCTACATCTGGGCTCATAGCTGCTGCTACGACGTTATGTGTATTTATATGTAAGTAAACTTATTTATTTATAACTTTTGTGTCTCCGATGCAAAAGTAATATCTTAGAGAACGGATCTGTCTAGTTTTCAGTCTCGGTCAGACGGCTAGGATTATCCGATAATAGACAATTCTAGTTATATAAATGTGACCCTAACCTATTCAAACTATTGCTTACATTCTACAACCCATCCGTATAAAGCAATTTGTGATTAACTTAAGAAATTGTAGACATAAGATAATAATTCTTTGTCTGCTGTAACTGTCTGTAAACTGTCATATAAATCGTAAAATGTCTTGACGCCTATTTGACTCTACTTGAATCATACTGATAGTGCACGTATTGTCATTAGCATGTAATTAACTTTACAAGGTTATCTAGGTACAGTCTTTGAACATTTATTTACTAACGTTGAGCACTTCATTTTGAATTAATAGAATTTCTATTAATTTATTTTAATTTCTATCATTTTATTAAGCAATTATCCTTTATAGGAATGTGGGTTTAGTATAGGTACATACCAAACCCACATCCGTAGATCGTCATACTTTAAGGACATCCTTAAAGAATATTTTTTAACATAGCAAATCGAGACCTTAATAACTAGTAGGTACATTGAATGATGGTCATGTTCATGTTGCGTGTTCATTCTTCAATTACTTTTGAGGCAACCTTCATAATTTGCATACAGTTTATCGTCTACATTTACACAGTGTGCAGTCTTTTACACACAAAGTCGCATGCAAAATTTTAGGTATCTGTTTTATTTGATTGGACATGTTCAATAATCTTCCCTGATTTTTATTGGTTAAGGTTTAAGGACGAATAGGTTCCCTCAGAACCCATTTCATCTAGTAAAATGCTACTAAACTAGTTCAAGATCATATATTGGTCAGGCATATCTCAGAAGAATACACATGATAGGTAAACAAAGCGCATTCGTATGGCAAGCATGCCGCTTTAATCAGTCTCAGACCTATACTGAATTGCAGACTACAAAAAGTCAGGTAAATAAATATATGTATCCGGTCTAGATTTGATTTTACACTCTGATTTTATTTAGATATACGATAATATTAAAACAAACCAATTAATTGATTCTAAATTTTCCAATTTTTTTGAATTATCGAAGAAACATCAAATATGAAAGATTAAGCTATTTTTCTTGCGATTGTGGTATTTTTAGTCACATTTTACGAGTTTAATTAGAGAGTATTATTAGCAGGCAAATTGGTTTCGATACCAGATAAGATCACTTTTTGTAAAGTAAAAAGTTGTAATCAGTTGGAAAAGCTCCATAACTTCCAAAATATTGGCTAGAATCAGAAATATTCTAATTTTTATTTACAGAATTAAGACTTATCAAGAGCTACCGTCGGGAAGTTAAACAATAAAAAAAAATTATAGGATAGTTGCAAACAGCATAATTAAAAAATATATATTTAATATTCAATTTAAGCGAAATAAAAAAACTGTGCAATACCATAAAGTTGGCAGCAAATTTTCACAATTATGCTGAATTATAAAATAAATTTATTTGTTACAGTACCTTTGGTGGGCATAATATCACAAGGCTCACAAGTGGTGCAAAGACCTATACTGAACAAGCAAATACAACAGAATGAACAAGGTAAAATTAAAAATAACGTTTACAAAAAAACATTTAAATAATTTAAAAGATCTGATGATCTTCGAACGACCGCTGATAATTTTGGGGCAGTTACGCATAGGTTGGCAACGCACTTGTCTCTCTTCATTTGCATGGTCCATGGATGTCCACTTACCATCAGGTGACACGTCTGCTTTGCTTTTCCTTTGAATAGGGGATTCCATAAAAACTGAAAACATTTTAAGTATCCTTTTTTACCCTTTCATTTAACCTTTACTTTTCATCATGACGGCTAAAGTTTGAGTATAAGATTAAAAATAAAGAAATACCATTTTTGGTTTCAGGTAAAATTTACAGCGTTCTGGGTGCCTTGGAATCCGCAATGCAGACAATGTCATCCCCTCTGTACTCTTTGCTATATACAAGGACTGTTTCGCATATGCCTGATGCTTGGTTATTGCCAGGAATAGCGTTAGCTTGTTTCCAATTACTTGCTTACTTTATAACAAAAAAGTTAACTCTAAGAACCGTCACAAATAACAACGTTGACAACGAGAAAAATGTCGAAGCAAAAACTAAACCAGAATCTAAAGTACCTGGCGAATAACTTTATAATATATAGGAAGCGTTTTAGCCATAAAACATAAAAGACTTTGTATAGAATAAGAATAGTTATTTCAAATACAAGTTTTCTACAAATACTGTGTTTTAATTACAAGTAATGAACAACGTGAACCCTAAGGATTTTACAACTTTGCAAATATTCCTAGGTTAAATATCATCATCATTCCGTCATCCCATAGTCAAGAACGTAGCCACGGTTTGGGAATTATCTCACATAGGATGCCATAACTGGTAACAGAACATTGCAAACAACCTTTTTGAAAATTATCTTGCCTTTTCGTGCCTAACGTAGAATCTAAAATTTATTATTTTTTATGAAAAATTGGGACGACGAGTTTGCTTTATCATGAGGGTGTCCTATATTCCCTGATATCGTACTTAAGTTATTCGTATATCTTGGTGTTGTTACACACCAGATCTCTCAAGTTTAATCTCTCAGCTTTTAAGAGCGTCTCGATACGACCGACTCATAGAACACCAGTGTTAAGCCATTGTTTCATAATATTCACCGAGTGAGAGAGGTTACCAGAAGTATAAACCCTTCTTTTCTTGATTCTGAGGGGGGTCAAAGGACGGCAATGCGTTTGTGATTCTTTAGTTACAGGTGTCCACGGGCGGTGGTATTTACTAGTGATGGAATTTATTGCTACTTTCAAATCATAATCATACTATGTATTGTACAATAGAGAGTTATCTATCTATCTATCTATATTGCAAAAGTTATAGCCGGGTTTAACCTTACGGGTATTTTTGACGAGCACTTGTGGGATCATTTTGGTAACGAAAATAAATAATTCAGGTCTTACGTATCCCACTTTTTTAATTATATAAATTGGTAGCACTCTCTGATTATCCGTATGCCGTTTTCTAAAGGTTCAATTTGTTAGTGATACTTATTTTTCTATTAACAAGTAAGTCATTCATTTTCAATTGCAATCATTTGTCACGATCAACGTTTAAATTAATTGTTTTGCAATAAAAAAAGGAATTGGGCAATAATCCCTAAAGTTGATTCATTTATGATTGAAAAAAGTATTGATTGATTAGAGTTAATATGAATATCTCTTTGTCAGCATTTGATTTTTCTTTATAGCATTTTTATAAAAAGTTGTCAAATAAAACTAAAAGAAATTAACGCAAAATATTCAACTAATATATATATATATATATATATATACATATTAGTTGAATATTATAAACAAAAGGTATATTTTTTTTATGGTATATGAGGGCAAACGAGGCTCAAAGGGCGACAACGCAAGTGGTTCTCAGTCGTCCCCTTAGATGAAGAAACCCTCTTGTGAATGGTCTGTGCTAACCTCATTCACTTGGTGAAAAACAACGATAGAAATGCTTAACACCGCTTTTCTGTGAGGCTGCAAGACTCCGGTCAAGTTGGCATGGTGCCAAATAATGGCTCTCATACGGTTAAAATAGGTTATCTTCTTCTATCATCATCACATCAACAACCTTTAACAGTCCACTGCTGGTTCTGGCCTTCTTTTTTTCATTTCTTCTTCTATACAAATAAATAAAATTGAAGTGTCTGTTTGTAATGTCTAAATAATAGGTCTAAATAATAGGGCTCACATGGTTATTTGCACGATACCTACGCCTAAAAACCATTTTTTTTCTGTCTGTCAGTCTATCTGTCTGTCTGTTTGTTCCGGGTAATCTTCTAAGTGCCTGGACCGCTTTTTATAATATTTTACTACCAGGTATATACTATACTATACTATACAAGGAGTAACTTGGCTTATTTTTCCTTTTAGAAAAAGCCTATAAAATTTTGCCCGGTCCAAGAATCGAAGCCATTACGGCAGCGCTGTTCAAACACCACGCGCACGATGTCGCGGGTACCAGATAGTTGGTAATAAAAACAATGAGTAGGTAAATTTCCAAGAACCAAACCAAGAAATACACCATTTCAAATCCAAAAAATACAGGTTGGTATCTTAACCACAGAACTGTGATATATGTAGTCTCATTCCTGTTTCTCTTTTCAGACTTGGGTATTCTTTACCTCACTGGTTGTGTCAACTTATCCGAACTTTCCTTCTTCCAACGTTTCGTGAAAAGAGGATTATATTCGCAAATAGGGCTGACGGCTATAAAAAAAACCAGACAAAAACCTTGTTGCAAACACTAGTTGCGCAGATTCGTAATAAAATTCTGAAAAGTTCAGGGAGAGATAATGAAAATCAAGATATAAATTTCTGTGTCTATAGTTATATTACATAAAAAGGATATATTGTAGGAGGTAAAAATTAAAAAGTTACATAATTGTTAAACACTTTTAAGAGGAAGTAGAAACTTAGAAGTAGCTTATTAAAACTTTTTATTTTCTCTTTTTTTTATGTTAGAGGTGGCAGACGAGCAGACGGGTCACCTGATGGAAAGTGACCATCGCTGCCCATGACCGTCTGCAACTCAGGAGTCACAAACGCGTTGCCGACCTTTTAGGAAGGAGTACGCTCTTGTCTTGAAGGTTTGAAGGTCGTATCGGTCCGGAAATGCCGCAGACGATAACCCGTTCCACAGATTGGTTGTACATACTAGTGGAGCGACTACTATCCAGGTAAGGAGGATGAAAATTTTGCCGTGTGGAACGATGGCGGAAATTTGCGGCTGGTATTAGTTCGAACAATTCCTCGGAGCACTCTCCATGATATATGCTATAGAGAATGCGATAGAAAATGCAAAGTGAAGCCACATCTCTACGCAACGCCAAGAGATCGAGCCGATCGGAGATGTTTGGGCTATCGACGATTCGAGTCGCTCTTCGTTGGATGCGGTCCAGATTGAAAAAGCTGGTACTGAGGTGCCCCTGCATAGAGATAAGAACAGTATTCATACTGCCTAAGGAAATACTGCCTCGCTCTGTTCAGTACACCGAAGTTCTTCGAGGCCAATTTATTAAATATATTATTGTGTGGCCATTATTGTGTTCAAAAAAGCAAAAGTAATCACAATATCACTTCAAGTACGCAGTAATATCCAGTTTCTCTTTATTCATATAATAAGAAATTTAAAAAATATTTATTTGTCTTTCTTAATACATAGAAAACTGAATACACAGTTGTTACAAATTAAATTGATGTCCGCAAATCGGAATACTCGTATGTATGATACAATGAATCTAACAATAAGTTATGAATTATTTGTGGCAATGATAAAGTTTATTGCTTGTGACATCACTAACTATCTACTTAAGTATATCATTTGTTACTATTTTTAGCTCAGAGAGAGATATTTATATACAACTGTCACTGGATTAGATAATATTCCGTAGGATGTAATACATGTACACCAATAAATAATTTTACTTTGTTAGCAACAACCAAATGGTTGATGTATGAAATCTAAAAACTAGTACGTAAAGAAAATTCTTTATACCCCTTTCTTAACAAATGTAGCATACAAAAGCATAATTATCATATTTGGGATATTTAAAATTGAAATGTGAAAAAGAGCAGAATGCAAAACTGCTGCATAAATCTACAGAAGCCCAGTATATATTTTGACCGGTCATGCTTCAAAGTCAATTTGTACTGGTCAATAAAATAAACAAACAAAAACATTGAAAACTATGAAAATACGATCGCTTAGATCTCTACTTATTATAATTTTGTATTTTTCCAACCCTTATCTACCTTTTTAACCGACTTAAAAAACAAAAAAAAGGAGGTGATCAATTGAATTGTTTTTTTTTGTACTATGTTTGTTACGCAATATTTCCGTCAAAATAGGTCGATTTTTGTTTGAAAATTTTATTATATTAACTTTAGCATGACCTTTTATGTACATTTGAATGACAATGTCTGATATTGAAAATTAAAAACATTCAAGTGTTGCAAAAAGGCTGTTGTGCGATAAACTCTTATAAATAAACTGATAGCAGAAAATTATGTGATAAAAAAAGGTATATATGAATGTCGCACCACGTTGTCAAATCAGATTAGTGAAGTCTACAAGAAGTAAGATTAGTCTTTCTACAAGAAGTAAGTAATTTGTTCTAATTAAATTAAATTTTCTCATAATATTAAAATCAATTTTGTGCTTATACTAGTTATAAAGAAAAATCACAAAGTAAAAAGCAGAAAAATTTTAAAATTTTGAGACAGCCTATATGTCTTTAAAATTTTGCCATCGTATCCAGTTCAAATAAACATTTAGATTATGTTAACATTTTGTTTTTATAAAATGAAAATTACTATTAAATATTTTTGGAGTTAAATTTAAGTTGCTCTTCATTTCAATTATTTAAATTTGTTCTCGCCCATATAATTCGCTTCATATAATTTAAAATAATCTTATCTGTTTGTAATTTTTCCGAGCGATTTAAAATTTACGTCTGCGTTTGGATTTTGCGATATCATAAAATTAATTATATTAATCGCCTAACTAATCACTAACAAGGGATACGTGCGCAAATCTATGTACTTTTTTATTTCATTAAATTGTAATGAAATTGTGACCCATGAACGCCTACTTACGCCTCAACTCGACGTATGACCTACAGACCCACATCCCGTAAGTGTGGAATATAGGATCTAGCATTAACTTAATATAACTCTTCTATATATTATATAATAAAACGAATTTTCTTTAATGTATGGTGTTCATTTATGTTCCAGTATGCAGCGTCCTCCATTCGGTAACCAGGGATTCCCTGGTGGCATGCCGATGCACCCTGGTGCGCCCGGTGGTCCTATGTACAACAACCCCGGAGGTCCACAATATGCTCCAGGATACGGCCAACAACCAAGCGGACCTCGTATTAGTCCACAACCGAATATGCAAGGCAACGCCGGCTGCTTCATGCCAGCTGCCGCTATCCGCAAGATCAGTAACACTACACCGCCACAACGTTTTAATCCATCATTTGAATAAATAGTTTATGAACTGGTCGAATCTCCTGTTTGAAATTACGTTTTTTAGTTTAAGTTTTATCTTATCTAAGTTCTAATAAAATGTGAGCAATCATAAATAACATGAAATGTTTTTATTGCAAAACCTACAATAATTAACTTGAGAAAGTTAACGCATCAAATGTGTGCATAATATCGAAGTTCTTAGCCAAGTCAATGTTTGCGGCATTTTCGCATTTTATGCATCGGTGATGTGGCCACGTGTCAGACATGCCTGAAGAACGTGGAGCGAAGTGCATATGCATTATGCATCTCTAAAAGAAACAAAAACAAGGTTGCCAGCTTCGTAGGTTTGAGGATATTCAGAAATGGAATATGCAGCACAGTACAGAAAATGAAACGTACTCCCACGTTTTCAGAGTCCTCACAGGAACGTAAAACTGACCAAATACATGTGGATAGAATATGATAGAAAACGCTATGAGTTAAAAGCGCTTCAGTCTGCGACTGGTAACAACAATTTTTTGCTGATGCATACCTGCGCACAATGCTCATAAGATTTTGTAAAGAAGGTTGGTTATATTAACCATCTTTAGCGCACTAGTGCCGCACTAACTTGGAGATGAAGTCATTGGCCAAAATTGATTAGAACCTGGATTATGCTTAGTTAGAAAGTTTTCGTATTATATTCTGATTATACGTCATTATCGTTATTATTCTACGTGGAATTTAAATATTTTAGTATGTACATAGATTATCGTAACATTACATAAATATTTTTCATCATCGCATTTAATAAATGCGATACGGTATAAATCAATTCAGGATGCTTTTTGTTTATCATTTGGGGCATGCGCAGTGCGCATTATTTATCTTTGATTATCAGATAGATGACAGCCAGTAATCGGTAAATATGTATAATATGTTGCGAGTCTTAAGCATCAAGAAATTTGTTCATATTGAAATGTTTAAATATTTATTGACATGCAACGTTTAAATTTGCCTACATTCTCACTTATTTCCTCTCTGACTACATTGCAAGACATGGACAGACAAGACATGACAACAACAACAATAACAACTACAAATACATACTACTATATACGAGTAGTACTATCTATGCTCTCTGTATATGGAAAAGTGCCCAGCAAATCGTATATTTAGTTCCACCGTAGGTTTACCGTCTTTCTACGTTAGCGCAACAAAAGGAAAAAAACTTCCACTGTATAACGGAGCTTTAAGCTGAGAAGACGTCGAAAAAAATAGTGGGAGCCAATTGTTGGTCATAGTGGCTAACAATTGGCACATATAGCTAACAAAGTTAATATATAATATAATGAATATGCTAGAAAAATCATTTATACAAGTATTATAAATACGGACACATCTTCGTTGAGTTCAGTTCGAGTTCACTACGGTGCGATAAACATCGAAGCGATCGAAGCGAATATATGTAAGTGTAACTCAACGACCTCGGTGATCATGCCGAACTATTCTTTAGTATTGTGTGAACGTCTTAAAGTGTAGTAATAATAAAGTCTCTTTAGTCGTCAGAAGGCTTATTATTTCAAATCAACGAACCCTAACATTAACAATATTTAGGTTACCGTGTGCCTGCCACACAGTGTGCAGTAACAGATTATCCTGGAAAGAGATTTCTTAAGTCAAATTGAACATAAATGGATTCTCATAACAATGTTAAATTCTGGTCAGTTAAATTATACTTTACACCATCATCACATTAACAGCGTTTAACAGTTCACCGATTTAAATAGGGCTCTCCTTAGAAAGGAGGTTTTGACCTACTACCTATAGCTACTAATATCCTAAGTTATTTATACTTATCAAATTTTATTAAAATGCGGATGTATCCGTTTAACTATTTTATGTACGTTTATGTATGTTAGTTTTTCTTATAGTGGACACAAGACACAGGAAATATTTCTAAAGGAGACACGTAAATTTATGAAAGTATTCTAGAAAAATAAGCAAGATATGCCTGTTAAACAGTTTATTACGTTTAATAAAATGTTAAGCAAATAAGTTTTATATAATGTTAATGCAGTTTAAAATGACTGAGATGTTTTTTAGAAAGAAATAACCCATGATTCTTGAACACTCACATGACGTGAAAATTCTGTTCAAAACAATCTGGTGGCACGGACACCACCTAACCACTATTTTCTAAGCGTTTCGCCTTTTTTTTGAACCGTCTTATCTTGGATTTAGGTTATACCAGATAAATAAACCCTGATTTCGTCACTGACTCACTGATGATCATTAAAATTGATAGGGTACCTCCTAGGTTCTAGAACGCTGAAATTTAGTATGTAAGCTAATATTAGTACAAAAACAACATAAAACTTCGAACTTTCAACCTCCAACCGCTTAAACTAGAAGATGGAACTTTCAATGAGACTGCTGCAAAATTTGATGCAAGAGGTCTGAAAATTGATACAATAGGGACTCCTTGTTATAAATAATAAATACATATTACGTATTTCAGTATTTTTAGTGAATCACTCCCCATCTTTTTATTTAGCGAATGTGGAATTAAGCGCGCGTAAAACGTCTAATGTGTACCCGGCACGTGGTTGACCTCTGAACAGAAAGGATTGTTGCCGATTAACTTTGAAGTCCGAAGTCAATATCAGAAAGCGTTCAACCCGAACGGGCACACGTCGCCGTTGTTCTGTGTAGATGTCTCGATTCGATTATTGATGCGATTTGATAATAAATTATCTTGAAAAATGTTGAAAAAGGTATGTCATAAGGTATAAATATTTATAATAATATAAAACATATGTATATTTAAATTACTTTATGATTAATGAATACCTTACAGGTATTTATTAATCATAAAGGTTCATATTTCCGTAACTCATAGTATGCTATAGCCCTATTCTATTGGTATAAATGCACACGAACCTTTGTGATGAGAGAAATAAGTGATTATTATTAGTCAGATTCAGATAATGCCTAGGTATCGCTTAGATCTTTCAATTATCACAAAGAGTAAACCAACAAAAAAGGCAAATATAGAGAGTGGCACAAAAGGCATCTCTGACGTGCAAGAAATACACTCCAAAAAAAGAAAGAAGAAATGAACAACCTAAAAAAATAAACGTAGTCATGCTAAAAGATTTTAGAATAGTGCAGTAAGAAAAGCAGCATCCACCACGACAATGCTTCTGCTTACTCGGACGGACTATCGAATATTTGTCTAACGAAGGTCTAGAGCTAGTGGGTCATCCTCCTTATAGTCCCGACCTGGCTTCTTGTGACGACAAATAAGTGTCACTAACAAATGTGTACAAGTGCTAAAATTATAATTATATATCTAAAAAATGGGATACGTACGACCTGAATTATTTATATTTGATACCAAAATGATCCCATAAGGACTGGTCAAAAAAGCCGCAAGCGCAAATTTCCCATATAAACCCGACTATAAATTTTGCAATAAATTTAAAGTCATCATTACTTACGCCTTGAAAATGATTGATTATAAATAAAACCAGCTATTGCCCTTCTCTTCTGTTGCGGCGTGATTGAGTAACAAACATACTTACATTTTAAGAAGTAAAAAAAAAAAATATGTTAGAGGTGGCAGACGAGCAGACGGGTCACCTGATGGAAAGTGAAAATCGCTGCCCATGACCGTCTGCAACTCAGGAGTCACAAACGCGTTGCCGGCCTTTTAGGAAGGAGTACACTCTTGTCTTGAAGGTTTGAAGGTCGTATCGGTCCGGAAATATCGCAGCCGATAACCCCTTCCACAGATTGGTTGTGCGGGGAAAAAGTGTCTCGAAAAGCGCATACTAGTGGAGCGCCTACTATCCAGGTAAGGAGGATGAAAATTTTGCCGTGTGGAACGATGGCGGAAAGTTGCGGCTGGTATTAATCCGAACAATTCCTCGAAGCACTCTCCATGATATATGCAATAGAGAATGCAGAGTATAGCCAAATCTCTACGTAACGCCAAGGGATCGAGCCGATCGGAGGTGTTTGGGCTATCGACGCTTCGAGTAGCTCTACGTTGGATGCGGTCCAGAGGGAGAAGCTGGTACTCAGGTGCCCCTGCATAGAGATGAGAACAGTATTCCATATGCGGCCGGACTTGCGCCTTATAGAGCTGAAGGCGGTGGGTCGGAGTGAAATACTGCCTCGATCTGTTTAGCACACCGAGCTTCTTTGAGGCCAATTTGACCTTACCCTCTAAGTGACCCCGAAACTGGACTTCGCTCAATATGTCGATGCCTAGGATTCCGATGCTGGCTGAGGCAGTTAGAGAGGTGCTCTCAAACTAAGGTGATACGACAAATGGTATCTTTTTTGCGGTGACCTGCGTCTTTTTTGGGTTGAACTGGACTAGATTTAGTCGGCCCCAATCTGAAACCCCCGCTAAGGTAGTTTCAATATCAGACACAAGTTTGTTTCGATTCTCGATGACGTTTTCCAAAGAAATATTGGGGCGGTCGGTATAAAGGGGCAGTTTAAGCGTATATACTGAGTGAGTATATTATTATACTGAGAGAATATAATTAGCTATGGAGCGCGCGCGCCCTTTCGGGAGCACAAAGGGGACATAGGGGTTCCCACACAGGAGGGGGTTATCGGGCATTTTGGTCGGTTCGAGTCCGACATAACCACCGGTCGGTGGTATCCGAGGGGATTTCCGCACAGAAAAAAAAGGTAGAGAGAGAGAGACAATAATTTGCACACATGGTCCGGCTGGACTGATATTATACCATGGCTTAGCAAAAAACCGGTGTTAACAAATTCTTTCCTTGTTATTTAACGAGTGCGTAAGGCTGAACCCTTTTTCCCCCACTTAACACTGAGGGGAGCATTCAAAGGCCGGAAATGCAGTTGTATCTCTAGAGTTGTAGGTGGAGGAGGTGCTAGTCACTTACCATCTGGTCACTCGTCTGCGCCTTTGCCGTCTATGCCATAGACCTATTTCTTAGCGTTACATGGATTCACCGTGCTATAGATGAGGACAACACATGCGACTTCATTAGTT